GGGGGGGGGGGGGGGACTTCTCCCTAAACAGGTCCTACTGGGGCCTAGCCACGTCTCCTCTCACTTCAGCACTGTGTAAGGGAAGGTAAGGGCTCTATCCTGAGCCACTGCAGGCATGTGCCTGCATTTTCTCAGTCCAGGAGGAATGTCTGTACATATGCAAACTGGTTCAGCCTAGCCAGGTTAGACTAACCTGCAAAGATTGAATCAGTTCAGGCTCAAGCTTTTGGAATGTCTGTCCCTAGCCTGTATAATCTGTCAGCAGACCACATATTACACACTCTGCCATTTGGTGATGGGACTCATTTTAAAGCATGTTGTAGCCACTGAGAAGTGCTTTCATGCCCCTCTGTTCCAGCACCCTACAGTCAAAGCTGTAAAATCTCAACCCCTCAGGTGACCTCTGTCTCTCAATTTTGAGAAAGAACCCAGTCCTCTGTGTGAGTTGTAGAGTACTCTTTTATTGTAAACTTGCTTTAATTGATTTTTGTCTTCCTCCTATCTTTTCCAGGCTGAGGCCATTCTACTACCACTTTTCCTTTCTCAGGATAGGAAAAATGTTACGCTTCAAAGTTTTTTCCTTGACAACATATTCCTATGGAGTCATCTCTGTAAAAATAACTATGTAACACAAGCTCCTTAGAAGTGCTCTCTTTCTGCTGAAGACAGATAGTCCACTGGAAAAGCAAGACTGGTGGACTCAATGGGCTAGAAGGACAGAAAACAAGATGGTTGTAGATGAGTGAGGAGGGTACTGCTCTGAGCAGAAATCCAGACAGGGTTATGTCTGGTTTGTGGGTTGGTTAGTTTGTTTGCTTAGTTTTTTGTTTCTGTTTGTTTTTAAACTAATGGTTGTTTAATGTAAAATGTATGAACCATCCCGGCACCAAGACTCGAACCCAGGACTCCTTACTTAGAGAAGTACTTGCAACAGCGGGCTATGGAGCCTGGCTTTATGGAGTATTCATGCATTTTTATATTAGTCACTGGATTCACTCTAATCTCTTAAAAGACTTTGGTTGCTACATTGCTGCAGAAGACAGACCAACTGTCTGTCTTTTGCTTGTAACTTGTAAATCGTCACCCTAGTCTTGAGATAATAAAATAGATTTCAAAGTTAAGACAGTTTCTTTCCTTGCAAAGTAAGACACTCTTAAATATCTGATACTACTTCTCCTACAATTCTACATCAGATGTTTATCTTGTCTGCAGGGATACTGACACCAGAGAGAGAGAGAGAGAGAGAGCGCTTTGTTGTAGCCTTCTTAAGGCATTGTTATTAGACCAGAATTAGACAAGTCATGATGTGGCCTATAAAACTAATTTATCCAAGACAGTAAGAGGAAGTATACACAAAAGTACGTGCACAACTTAAATTATAAGACAATAAAAAGTGTCTGAGTTAAAGGTAATTTAATTCCTTTAAAAAAAAATGTTAGGCCGTTAGTAAACCGTGCACCTGGTACAATGTCCGCATCTCTTTCATGTGGTCATACCTGATTGAACCTCAAAGTGCAGTTTTTGTCAGAGTTTAAACAGGTGGTGGAGAGTGCTGACTATGCATGCTTAAATGTTATGGACCAGTAAATGATTTCTAAAAATAATTTTAATAGATTTGTTTTGTAAAGTTTCATTGTCAAATTTCAATAGCTTTCTATGCCCTTTTTAAAAATAATTACTGGAAACTTTGGTTCAGGCAGACATAATTGAAGGACATGGGGTGTGAAAAGAAGGCAGCAGATGGCTTTGTGCTTTTGATTCCACTAATTTAAAACTTGACCTCAGTGAAAGGGCAGAAAGCACAGAGAAAGTCGAGAGTAATCAAGTAGAAAAGAACATAATTTAGAAGGGAGTGGACTGTAGTTCTTAAAAGCAGATAGATCAGTATTAAAACTGTGAATCAAATCACAAAAATTCTTAAGGAAAACTAGCTTTCTGTTTTTTCTTTTTTGCTGTTTTCAAGCTTTTTCTCCAAAACAAAGAACTCTAGAACCTTAATAGGTTAAGCAAGATCTTAATGTAATTGTATTGTTCTTGGACCTGCAGCTATAAAAAGTAGAATAAATATTGTAAACAATTAACATTATGACACAGAAGTTAGGCTGCAGAACCTTATTTCACTCTCCTTACTGATGACTTGTTTAATATGGGGCAAGTGGGGAAGATGGGAACCAACAGCTGGCTCATGTATGTAATGGATATACATTTATCCAAGAACTTTGTTATGGTTCTTACAATCTAGGCAGGTTTCCTGCAGGTGGCTATTGCCGTTTACTCACTGTCATAGGACAGGTCTGAATGACAGGTGACTGCGTTGCAATATTAGTATCATAGTGAGAATCATTAACAAGTACTGCAGTACCTAGTTTAGATTAGTCCTTACCCTTTTTGTGCTGAAGTTTATCCATTTTGTAAACTTTGTAAAAAAAAAAAAAAAAAAGTATTCCTTTTATAAGTATAAACAATGTGACCTGAAGTTCGTAATCTTTCAGAATAAAGCTGGGTGATTTCTCAGTTTGCATATAGGAACCACCAATGCTTTCTTATGCAAGCGATGTGTAGTCTTCTTCTGCCCTTTGAAATTACATTCTAAAGAGCTTAGGAAAAGTGGCAAAGAAAAGATGTTTGCATAAAAGTCCGTATTTGCTTTTTATTCTGTACATTATCCAGAGACAGTTTGTTCAAATGCTTGCCTCATTCTTTGCAGGCAAGCCTGGGCTTTAGTTGGTGTCATAAATAGTGGGAATTCCTCCTGTAATGAATCTGTGAGAGAGTATGAAAATCACAGCACCGGAGGGAAGGCACTTGCTCAGAGAGAATTTTTCACATTTGATGGTCAGAAGTTTTCTGTGATGGCTTTTAGTGAATGGAATGAAGGTAGGAAAGTTCTTTCTAAAATGTTTAGCTGGGGGTGGGGGACAGGATCTGTTTTTAATGATTTGTATGCATTGTTTTCTAGAATGGCTTGTTTCTTAAGTTTTAATTTTATGAATGCTGTAACAGGTTGGTTTTTCTGTCCCTCATATGGCCTAATTCTCAGGTAAGTACATGTCCTTATCAAGGAAAAGGGGGGAGGAGGGGTTACATACCTCCTAATGTACTTGTCTGCCTTTGCCTTTTTTGTATGATACCATTGTAGTAGAGAAGAAAAACTATTTTTAATGTATAAAGTTAAAAAATATCTGGCTATATACAATACTGGAGCCTAGATAGATAGAGCCGTTTTATGGTTTATGTAGTATTTCTAGCCTTAACATTCTAGTGATTGCTGTTCCTTGTGACACTTGGAGAACTCTTATATATGGCAGATTTAACTTCTTGCAAAAGGTTTTCAATTGGTGTTTGCTTTCTGTTTCCCACCACTGTGGTAATAAATAGTCTTTAAAGTCACATGGATTTTTACTTAGCCACTTTGTTTACCCTCTAGCCTTGTGAGGTTGGTTCTGACCAGTAAAAGGAAATTGTGGTCTTAGAAGCAACTTCATGTGGGGAAAAATATTATCAATGCCATGAGTTGGTTTTAAATCCCACCCCTCTCATCGGTGTTAGATTATCTAGTTGATTGTCTTGAATGTGACATAACAAGTTAGCTTGCAACGTGCTTTTGTTTTCTGTGTTCAAGAGGATCCTGGATCCTTTTGAATTTTGGATATTTTCTTATTTTACATTTTGTGAGTTGGAGGAACTCTCTGCTCCAGGCCTGCAAGTACTGGGCACTGTTCACTTCCTAAGAGTTTCCAAAGGACTGTTACAGAACCTCCCAGATTCTCCTAGTCTGGTAATATGTTTTGTGTTAGCAGCCTTGCAGTTTTCCGTACTGTTCCTTCAAAACCCAACCTCTCTCTCTGGCAGTTTGCTTTCTTGGCTGTTTCCAGAACACTAATATAATTCTTATCATTTTGTACCTAAGAACAGCTAGCCGTTTATCACTTTTACAGTGAAAAAACTTAACATGCCTTCCCTTACAATTTAGGAAGATAATCTAAATCAGGGGTGGGCAATTATTTGTGCCTGAAGGCCACTTAGGAAGTTTTGGTGAGCTGTTGTGGGCCAAGTCAGCACCCCCTCACCCTGTTCCCCCACTGTGCTGGGTGAGGGCATCCCCCTAAGTGGACCCCCCTCTTCACTGGACCAGGCAGGTCCCCTGGTCACCCTCTTCACTGGACCAGGCAAGTGGGAGTGGAACAGGCAGGCAGGGCCAGGGTTCCCTGTATGCCCCTGCAGTGGGTGCCGGTTCTATGGGCAGGGGCACGCAAGCAGCGGATCACAGCTCTGCTCCAGGCCCCAGTCCCATGCTGTCACTGCCATGTGATCCTGGCCCACCTGCCAATCCCGCTTTCAGATGCTGCTCCCCACCTGCCTGCGGTCCCATCCTATCCACTTGGCCCTGCCTGCATGGGTCCCACCCCCAGCAGTGGGTGCAGGATGGATGGGTTGGGGTGCCCAGACTGCAGGGCCAAGTCCAGTGGCAGCTGGAAGGAGCCAGTGCTTGTGGGAAGTGAGTCCAGCTGCCGCACTGTTCCAGTCCCGCTGTGTGTCTAGGAGCGGTAGGACCTGCTACACATGTCACAACCTTAGCTACCCCCACTCCTGGGCTTGGCAGAACTGAGAGACCTGCCACGACCCAGACAATCTCTTGGCTGGCCAGATCCACAGATCATATCCCACTGGCCATATTTTCACCCCCAACCCCCCATCTAAATAAATTGAGTTTTTCCCCCCCCTGCACACTTTTTTTCATAGACTTCATAGGCATTAGGCCTGGACGTGACCTTTGGAAGATCATCGATTCCAGGGGCAGGGGCAGGAAGTCAGCTAGGGTCATAGGATCCCAGCAAGATAAACATCCAAATTTCTGTTGAAGGCATTCAATGTAGGTGCTTGAACCACCTCCAGTGGCAGACTATTCCAGACCTTGGGGGCTCAGATAGTAAAGAAGTTCTTCCTTATGTACAGCCTGAAACAGTCTTGGAGGAGTTTGACCATTCAGCCTTGTCATCCCTTGGGGTGCTCTGGTGAACAAGCGTTCCCTCTTTATGTACTCATTTTGAAATGATGGACAGGAACAGAATTTATCAGTTTTTCTTTCATGATGAGCAGTATACTAGTGTGATTTGCTTGAAGCTCCCCTCTGAAAGTGACTGGAAAAAATGACAATCTTCTCCATATATGCATTGATTCAGATCTGCTCACTTCACTGACAAAGATACTTACTTTGAAAGTTAGTTGTCCATAGCAAGTATAGCTAAGTAAAACAGTCTCATTCCATACCAACGTTTTTAGTTTGAATCACAATACCTGCACAAACCTGCCAAAGACAATAGACTAACTTGTCAAACTTTTTCAGTGATAAGATAGAACTTAGCTTGGTTCTCAGAGTCTTGCATCTGAGGGTTTTGGAAAGCAGAACTATTTTAGGTATTTGTAAATATAAGTCATCTTGTTTTAACCTGAATCTTGACATCCACAAAATAGAAAGGTATAATAGCAGCAGGAACTTCTATTTTAACCACACTTTTATTGCATTTCATGTTAGAATCACACTTTGAAATTGCCCTAAAAAGTTCATTTTGTTTAAAAACCCCACAACCTCCTTTTTTTTTTAAGTTGCTTATGAATTATCAGTGAAAGAGTACCTCTTTAAGTTGCAGCTTTATATATTGTAATATACAGTTCTTTGTTTCTCATTCATTAGGTGTCCCCCTCTCAGGCTTCCAGGTAGAGGCTGTTGATGGAGTGATATTGGATCTGTTGGAGGATGTTAGTAACTGGCAGCCTAAAGATCGGATTGTAATTGCAAGCACAGACTACTCAATGTACCAAGCAGAAGAATTTACTCTCCTACCATGTCCAGAGTGCAGCAGGTATCAAGTCAAAGTGAAAGGTATGAGACCTGATAAAACTGAGATATGTGCAATATGAAATATCTGCTAATTAGAATATTCCCTCTGATGCTTGTCTTTTGTCCTCTGCCTCCCAGCCATATGGAAGGGATCCACTTCTTTTTAATGTAAGAAATCACTACTTCTTTTCAGTTTCTTTCACACATGCAGTGCTTCCTGTTCATTTGGTTCGGTCTCCTCTTCCTCGTTTCCTGACTGTTGTCACCTAGCAGCTCTGTTTTTCTAGTACCTTTTTCAGCTCTCCCTGATCTGGCACTGTCAGTTTTTTTGTTTGTTTGGTTTTTGTTTTGTTTTTTTTGGGGGGGGGGGTCAAAAAATCCTTCTTTGAACCTGACTTCCTCTTTCAACTTTTTCCCCTCTGTCAGCAAAAAGATTATGAAAAAAGAAAATTGGGTCTCTCCTCTCTGACTCTGGGTGTAACACATGGCTCCTCCATGTAGTTAACCATTCCCTTTTTTTTTTACTCCCTATGACTCATGCTGATTTCACTGTATCCCCTGGGACAGATTTTCTTAGCTACACAGGCGTCTTCCTGTCTCTCTGGTCCCCCTTCTATAGAACCCATGTTAAATTTCGCCATGTGCAGGGCAGGATTTTGGGATAGGAATAGAGTGATTTTGGGGTGTGACATTAGATCCAAATCATGCCGTACTTGCCGGTGTAGGGGGAACCCAGGATCATGATCCTGGGTTCCCTCTGCTCCAAGTTGAAAGCTGGGTGCTCACAATCAACTGATTGAACTGGGGTCTGGAACCAGCCCTAGTGAAGTCCCTGGTCCCAGCCAACAATCAGCTAATTGTCAAAAGGCCAGCTGTGTGGTGTGCACAGTTTTTTTACTCATTGTAGCGTACAGGGGAACCTATTCTGGAGTTGCATCACACTGGAACCTTTAAGAACAGTGTGTGCAGCTGGCCTGTATTGGGCTTGTCAGAAAATCACATATGCCCAAGGACCTTAGAATCAAGGAGCCTCACTGGGATGGCTTCACACACGGTGTTCTGAGGAGCTGTATACACAGTTCTTTAAAGATCTGGGGTGCAGTGAGTCCAAGATCAGGGAAATGCTCCTTGAGCTCTGGCTCATTGCACCTCCCCATCTGCCAGGGTTCGGGAAATGATTCATCCCCAGCCCAACGTGGATAGGGGACAGCTGTGTCCTAGGTCTGGGCCTTCCCCATACCGGATCCTGATGCTCAGCTGAGCATCAGAGTCTGCCATGGGCCAACCCCAACCTGCCATGCCTTCAATTTAAGGCATGAGCCAGCCATGTGATATGTGGAACAACTTTGTGGCTTGTTTACTGTATTACAAATAGATAATCTTGAACATGTAACCCCATTACTATTAAAGGCATGATTAACAGGTTATTTGAGTTGTAAATATAATGTGTGTCAGCAGCCCAAGTATCTTCCTTCTTACTCTCTTAAGACTCAGAATTCTTGCTTGCTCCTGTAGCATGCTGTCCTTTCTCCCTTCTATATTTCTAATGTTTTGCAAATGTGTGTTACCTTTGCATCAACACCTCAGTGACATTTCTATAGGAATTTATATCTCTCATTTTGACTGTATAGACTTAATTTGCATGACTTCCCTAGAACTAGTTCTTTAGACTCAACATCTGTCTAAGGTTGTAAGTTTAATCTTGGATCTTAGAAAATGTAACACAGTTGTTCCCTAAAATCCATTTTTCTTTTCATTCTACATCTATGTTCTGCCCCTGCTTTGAATATCTCTTATCACAATTGCCAAAAGATTCTACTGTTCTTTGGTTGTTCCTGCTTGAAACTAGAGTTTTTATGTCTCTCCTCCTTTTTTGAGGATATGATTTGATGATGACATCTCAGTAAACATCCCTTGTCTGTTTTATGATTTTTCTTTTCTTCCCCTGCCCCCCCTCCCCCTTTTGTAGGTATTATTTTAGCTAAACCTTTCAGGTTTACAGTTTACACAAAAAATGCTATATTACATTTATATGGCGGTTTTTAAATGCTCAAGAATAGCATTCATAAACGCATTCATTTTCAAAAACATATCTTATAGTCTATGCATGAATAGTTCTAAAGTTTCTGCTACCAGTGTAGTCAGTAAATGTTTTATTAATGTTATGGGGTAGAGTACAACTTGCGCATTTTTCTGAAAGGAAGAGGAATGTAGAGCTTTAACACTTTCATGTGAGTATATTCATAAAGAAGATGAATAGATCCATCTGATAGTTTTCCAATATTAACATGAATGCTGTTTCTCATTGTAAATAGGCCTTACTCAGTTGCAATAGTAGAGGAAAATTTTCCTGTTTCACAAGACATTAAATTTTTTATGGCATGCCAATTTTCTCAAGCCAAACCCTCTCTAGTTTTCTGCAGATATTTGCGGATCTGTCATGTTTTGCTGGCCTGGCGCACTTCCATTTTGGGGGAGGAAGAAAAAATTAAAATGTATGCTTACAGCAGGCATAACATCTGCCTGTTTTAAGCTCCTTTTTGCCTTTCCTCCAAGATAGGATAATTTACATTTGCTAGCAAACTAATCCATCAGACTCTAATATTTCTAAAACTTTGGCAGCACACGCAATACTCAGTATGAAAGAGAAATTAGGGGATTTTTTTTCTTTTAAACAACACCCTGGTTAATTGTTGTGTGGGCTTTTTGTTTGTTTGTTTTGTTTTTTGCAGGAGAGGAGAAGGGGAGGGTTGAATTCTGTCAGCTGCAAGTCAAGTACCAATCCTAATCAGCTTTTATGTACTGTTAGTCACTGTATGTAAAAGTGATTCTGAACAATTTCAGCTTGCCCTGTTATGTAGCAGTCAAAACAGGACCCGCACTTTGGTAGCTACCTTTTAGTAACTTGAATTATTATTAAAATCATCCATTTGCTCTCTCTTCCAGAGTTGCAGGTTTTTGTTCTTTCTGTCTACAAATCATTCACAAATGGGCATTGAGTTTCAACCCAATAATGCATTAGGATTCCTTACAGGTCTAATAAAGGTCTGAAACAGAGAGGGCTTTGTTTCTTTTCATAGAATGAAAAATGTATCTGCTCCTTACTGTTTTGGGACTGGGTATGCTGTGGCATTTAATGGTGAGGCTGTAGCACATCAATTGCTTCAGTACACAAACCCTACCAGTGCACAGTTACATTGAGCACAATATAAATACTAAATGATAAGAAAGCTGTGTCTGTTTTTGGCACTGCACTCTTTCTTCCATCAGATTGTGGCCTTGTGGAGACGGTGTTTCTTTCTTAGATCATCACAGAAACAGATGCTTGTAGCTTAATACTTATACCTGTCAGCGATGAGCATTTTCTCTTCCTCACAATGATGATAAAGTTCATGGGTTAACAGTTCTTAGGTTTCAGTGCCACTACTCTAAAAGGCTTTAAAAAATAAGCAACTGGAAGACACAAAGTGTTACTAAGTAGGCATAGAAGGACAGCTAACAAACTATAATTCCAGTTTTTAATGAATAACAACGTTAAATATTTATCTTCTCTGACATTTATTTTTCTTCTTTCTTTGAAATGGCTTTCTGATCAGAAAATCCTCAGTTCCTTCATATGGGAGACATCATTGATGGAGTGGACATGAGGGCAGAGGTTGGACTTCTTACAAGGAATATTGTGATCAAGGGAGAGATGGAAGATTCTTGCTATGATGGAAATAAGTGCCAGTTCTTCAATTATGATACGTTTGGTGGCCATATCAAGGTTTGAAAAAAACGTTTTTAAGCGACTTCTTGTCAGTGAAAGGCAAATTGAGGAGGGCTTGTAACCAAAAGGATTAATTCTAAATTTGGACTGCTAAATTGATGTTCATGAAATTATCCCAGAGATCCTTTGTCTAAAAATATTTCTTCTGAGCTTCCCTAAAACTCGTATTATCTTGTCAAGAGTTAGACTGGAGAACTGGGGACAGAGAGCTGCATTAATACACTTAAACATTCATAAAAGCCTGTTTTTTACATTGTGACTATGCAGGATAGTGAAAACTAAAATTGAAAAGTTTTCTTGGATGCCCATTTTCATAGATTTCATAGACATTAGGGCTGGAAGGGACCTTGAAGATCATCAAGTCCAGCCCCCTGCCCCAGGGACTGGAAGTCAGCTAGGGTCAAAGGATCCCAGCAAGATAAGCATCCAAGCATTTCTTGAATTAGTCCAGAGTAGGTGCCTGCACCACTGCTGGAGGGAGTCTATTCCAGGTCTTGGGGGCTCGGACAGTAAAGACAATTTTTCTTATGTCCAGCCTAAAATGGTCTTGGAGGAATTTATGACTATTTGTCCTTGTTTTTCCTTGGGGCACTCTGGTGAACAGACGTTCTCCCAGGTCCTGATGTACACCCCTTATGTACTTACA